GTCAAACAACGAGTGTATCATCCATTATTAGCTGAAGACATTGAACGAAAAAAACGATTTCAAAATATTTTTATCCGTTCTTTCACTATTATATCGGTAATTTCTGTTTTATACGAGTATTATAATGAATATAGACCCATATAACCATTTTCTTGTCCTCAAAACTAACTGTTAGATGCATTTCAATGAGAATACTCTATAAACTTCGTATCAAAAGAATTTAGTATCCAGTAGACACGCAGTACGGCTTTATCGTTTGACCAAAGTGATCCTCAAAATTAAAACACGCAATCTTTAAGATTGAAAAGAAGCGACTCTGATTGTACGATATACTTCAAGTTTCATTTAGATATCATTCGAACGACACAACTGGTCTCCAAGATACGCTCGTTTTTGTTGATATGAGCTCCAATAAAACGTTCACCATTCTTACAGATTATAATTTGCAACTAGCACGCCATTCATGCAATGCCGATATTCTGACAAACGAGAAGAATTCAGAGACAATATTGACAACGATTTTATTCAATTCACAATCAACAACAACATCTCCAAGAAGTACCACTGCTCCAATAACAAGTGACTTTAGATTACTGTGGATTCTACGTTTCATGATAGCACTTGTATTTCTCTCATTGAAATGATAGAGAGCTATAATCACAATTTTGTTGCATAAAACTATCATTCTGATTTTACTTGATGTTCATAAAATGGTCTAGTCTAGTAAATATCAATGTGTGAGTATGGGTGTCATTGAAGAATTAACTCGCACTCACGGTCTAGTCCACATCCAACTACATCCTATGAAAAATGCTCGAAAATATCAATTGTTTCACTCAATGAATCAATTAATTAGCCCATAAATACTCATTTAATAACATTTAGTTATTTGATTTATTATTCAATTCATGTGTTGAATGAGTACTATAAAATTTAGTAACAATTACATGTGGTGATGAATTTCTTAAAAGATTATTATCCATAATGTCTCTGATGGAAAAACGACATTAATATTACAGCTTCTATTGGAATTGTGTCAATTGAGTTTTGACAATATTGTTCAATTTTCACCGAATTTTCGACAACATGCACAACTGTTGGAAGTGTAACGTGTCTTACAAACCTAGGTTCCCATTTTTGTTAGCTAACGCGAAGAAAAGAATTATTCAATAAGAACAAATGTCACACAACAAGCTAAGTTTATCTATAAGATCAATAGCAGCAAAGTGGTAAACAAAAAAAGCTTTCTATGTAAATGGACTAACAAAACAAGAACAATCAACAAAAAAAACCTAGAAAAAAAGAACAGATGAAAATAAAGAGAAAGAATAAAATCTACTATATCGAACGATGATGTGTTTTTGTAAGTGAGAAGAGAAGAAGAAAAAGAAGATGCACGCATGCAAAAAAACGTAGATCTCTACCAACAATCTGACAATTCGATGCCATATTCATTACAATGTAATTAATTCATCAGGTTCAACTGCTGTGTACCCTAGTCAAACTTCTTGATCTTCTTGAGCAAGAGAGTCATGTGCTACGAACAAAGTTTGAGATCTGCACAGATCAAATAAAACAAAAAAAGAGTTCAATGTGGAAATTTGGCAATACTGTCAAAAATTTGATAGAATTTCACAAAGTTTGGACAATCTACCGAAATTTCGACATTTCCCGGAATTGAGATGACGAAACCTTGCCTCACCATATTACACGATGTTGTCTTTTCTAAATGTAATCCACAGATAGAGCCAACGATGTCTAGACAAAACAAGAACCAATCAATATATCTGGGTGTGGGATGTATGTAGGCCTGATTATGAGTGTGGGTGCCTATGCAATGAAGATCGTCAGCACCAGCCTCAACCTTACACGCCAACACATCTAAACTCACACCAAAGACACACACAACAACAACATTCACACTAACGTTCATTCTTACGCCATATACTCACATTCGTACACCCACACTCTACGTAGGTTCGCAGCCATCTACTATGAACAGCTTGGACAGCTACCATACCGGCACTCGAACATAAAGCCTGAATTTGAATTCGTTGCATAGCTACAATGAAAAAAATTTGCAAATTAATAAACGGAAAAAACGCGTTTTTGATAGATATCAGACGAAAAATGGGTTCATGAGTTTACAACGGGACAGCAAACCCTTTTTTCCATATATGACGAAGATAATAAACGTTTTTTTTTATTTATGATTTGAAGAATGGATTTATCAGAGATTTCAAAAATGAAGAAAAGGGGTTTATGTCCTATTGCAAACTCATAAACCTGTATTTTTTCCAGTGTGGTCAAATGTCTTTCTTCCTTTAACAGTATGCCACGTCTATTACATAAATTTCTTCTTTTTATTATAAAGTTATATAGTCTTGGGTGTGAGTGTAAGTGTGAATCTTCTCGTCACACCCAAACCGACACTGACACCCCACACACCCACAACCACACCCTTAGGATACGACAGATAATCTTACGTTTTCTTCTTTTCTCGCCTTTCCTACGTTCATAGTACATTTAATATCGTTCTATTTTTCTTGATATAGTGGTGATATTTTTTCTCTCGTGTTTTCTTCTTATTTCATTCATAGATATAACCATGATTTTTCGAAAAAAAGAGAGATTAGGTAGCGAACACTGTAACTACAGTACATTTCAGACAGTTATATCACGTGGATAATAAAGTTTCATAAGATAATGTGCCAAACAAAAGAAAAGAGAAAACTGGAGTAGTTGGGTACCGATCCTAATACCTCTCGCATACTAAGCGTGCGCTCTACCATCTGAGCTACATCCCCTTGCTGAGAATCTGCGGTTCACTCCGGCTCATAAATCTCGACATATGAGTGCACTCATTAATGATCGTCTTGTGATCAGAGGCGAAAATCGAAAGAATACATATACGTCACGAAAAGGATCATGTTGAAACGATGATGGTCATTTAAAATATGCCATAAAGTAAGCATACCATTACATTAATAGAAAACAAATATTCATAGAACAAGTTTTTCACTAATTCACTTAAAGAGTTTGGATAAAGGGAGAATCCACCTTATACTACACATCTAAATCCTATCTTTAATTTCATGTGGATTATTTGGTTGCATATATATTCTTGCGAAAAATTGTTGATGCCATTTACATGTTCGTCTATGTCCTTAGGGTGGGTGTGCACGTATGGGCATGAGTGTGAGTTTGAATGTAAGTTGAGAGAATATTCACACCCCACACTCACACCCACACCCTTTTATCAGTGCCGTTTCTTCTGATAAGATTAAGATCAAAAGAGAGAATCATTCGAAAAAAAAAACTTTTCATTGTTTTTGCTTGAACTATCGGCTATAAGTAAATCTCTAAGCATTCGAAAAAAATTTGTCAAAGGTCATCATGATCAATTTTTATTTTGAAAATGAAATACTCTTCAGTAGATCATTTCCAGCTAAAATGACTAAAACGCATTCGCTTTACGAATATGAGAGATAAAGCAAATATTCTAGATATGTCATTTTATATCGGTAATTATTCAATCATTAAAATAGAATCTTTTTTTTTCTTCATATGAGTAGATAGAGAAATCAATTCGCTTTTCAGCAATATTAAAATAAAATTATTAATCCTTTTAAATAAACGAGATATAAAATATTGAACAAAGCCACCCTAGAAAAAAAAGCGTTCGCTTAACCAACCTTCACTCTCTATTAATGTAACATATAAAAGAAACAGAATTGATGATTCATCCTTGTTATATGAATGTTTATTTGTGTGTATTTCAAACTTCAATGATGTTGTCGTTTTAAGAAATTTTCTATTTATAAGTTTGAAATCATATAGAAAATCATTTTAAGTGACTTTAATTATCAAATTGTATATAAACTTGGATATTTACAATATATACTTCACATTATGTGAAGGACTAATGATTAGTTCAGCAGAGGATAAAGAACAAAGAAAAGAAAAAATGACACCACTCACAAATAAAAATAGAATATCGTGAGGATGAGAAACAGCTGAACACAAAACAACTTCATTATCGGCCCGTTAACATCTATTTTAGTAACTATAATCTTAATGCAAAATTTTTCTTCTTCACCAGAAATTTTCTCAGATTATAACGCACATTGCATCATCTTCTACGGTTATACAGCATTTTTTCATCCTTCAGTGCGTTCATCTTACAGCATTGCATCATTCTGTCTATCCCGTTCATATAAAAGAGAACGAGCAAACATTTTTTCGTCCTCTCGAATCGACTAGTTGTATTTTATAATAGCGTGTCGTATTGTACGCGTATACAATAATTTCGTCCAACTTGCACAGTGTAAGTAAAAAATTTCTTTCTCACAATCAGAAATAATCTTGTATTTGTTTGAATTGTTTGGTTTAAAATGATTCATTGAAATTATAAGTATTATCTCGAGTACAAATATTAAACTTGAAGTTGACGAATAATAGACTTTCAAGTTTGATATAACTGAGCTTTTCTTTGACATTTTGTTTTTTTTTTAAATTTAACTTGATAGAAGATAAAGAATTGAACATGTCAGAATGCAGAAAATTTAAAGAAAAATATTGATACTATCTTTCGTTTACCAAAACCTACTTACATATTTGACATTCTCATTTTGTTATTCTATATTCATGTTGGTGCTACAAATGAAGTATAAAATAAATATCTACATATAAATCTTCTGTTCGAATAAGAGAAGAGATAAGTCTCACTTTTTATTTATTATACAAGTATAGTGAACAATAAGATTTCGTTGAGAAAATAACACATAGAACCTTCCTATAGTCTTGTTCTACTATCGTTTTCACTTAACGAACTTTTTTTTTATTTTGGATAATCAGTAGAAAATTACCGATCTTTGTTAATGTTCATTATTATATACTGACATACGAATCAGACATTAGAAGTTGTCGAGCAATATATAAAATAATTATATTTATTATTATATATTGTGAAGTTTTCTATTTCAGAAGATAACAATCAAATGGATAAAAATGATAAGAAAAAAACTTCAGTTGAAGAGTCAGTCGTACCTGATGGTGGATGGGGATGGATCGTTGTCTTTGCATCATTTTTGATCCATTTCATTATGGATGGGTAAGTGAGAATTTTTTAATTTTATCTTGATTTTCATATTATAAATAAAATAGGATAACATATTCAATGGGTCAAACGTTCTTAGAACCTATGCGAAATAAACTTGGACCTGATCGAGCTTCAGTATCAACTATTTTCAGTATTTTACCAGCTGTCACTCTTGGTGCAGGTAAATTCTTATTATTCTAAATTGAACATTGTTTTCTTATAATAATTATATTCTAATTTTTAAGGACCAATCGCAACTGTTTTCACTAATATGTACGGATGTCGTGCAGTGGCTATAGGAGGTACATGCGTTGCTGCTTTCGGTTTTTTTCTTAGTCGACTATGGGCTAATATTTGGTATTACTATATTACAATTGGCATTATAGGAGGTATGTACTTTTACTCATAGAGTTATTTTTTTCAAATTTTCTTGAACATTAATGGATACGAATGTGATTCACATGGTAATATAGACAAGATGAGAGATTGGTTGCATGATACATTATAGAAATTAAAAGATCATACATTATAGTAGAATTGAATTTGAAGGATTTCAAGTTTTTTTGTTCTCAATAAAATCAGGTTTCAGAGTTAAAGATCAATTTCGAGAACAAATTTTATTTTTCCGAACTGATATAGCTCGAAGATAAATAGATGAAATTTTCATATATAATAAATTATACAGTCGATTTCATATTTGAAACAGATTCGTATCCTTTTATGTGAAAAAAAATAAATTCTTAATTTTATATATTAATCGTTTTCTTCGTTTCATTCATGTATTGATATTTTTAGGTTTTGGTTTTGCACTCATGTACTTGCCAGCGATTGTCTCTGTTGGATTGTATTTCGAAAAAAAAACGTACATTTGCCATGGGTATCGCTGTATGTGGTTCAGGTGTGGGTACAATGGCACTTACCTTTATCATGAATGGAATCGTCAATATACGCTCATGGCTCAGTTATGAGAATGCACTGCTTCTCGAATCTGGTATTATCATGATTAGTCTTCTATGTGGCTTCTTGATGGTAATCAAAAAGTTACTTTTTTCAAGACGATAATAACAAATTCTTTGTTTAGCTTCCTTTACCACAAGAAGCTAGTGAACAACGACGATTAGAACGAAAAGTGCGTAAAGAAGGTCAACAAAAACAAAACGAGGAACTTTTAATTGTTCAGAATGGTTCAACAACATCAAAAAATAATTCTACTGAAGGTAAACTCATCTATAGAACTTCGTTTTTTTTTTGTTACATTTATTAATATAAATTCATCAATTCAATATTTTTAGTTGTCACTATTGAGAAATCACCAAAAAAATCTTTCTTTCATCAAATAATCGAACAAATCGATCTCAATCTACTCAAAAATCTTGCATTTACACTATTCGTTGTATCCAATTTTTTAGCAAGTCTCGGCTTCAATGTAGTTTATAATTATGCTGATGATCTTGCAAATGATTCAAACGTTCAAAAAGATGATCGAACATATATTGTTATGTCAATTGGTTTATCAAATATTTTCGGTCGTATTATCATTGGTTATTTCGGTGATCGAAAATCGGTAAGAAAATTTTTTCGATATAAAAAATTAACTTTGATAAGATCATTTGTCATTTTCTTTAGGTAAATCGACTTTTCTTATTCGCTATAACATTAATTATTTCTGGTGTTGCTACAATAGTGGCTCCATTATGTGGTTCTTCTGTTTTGCCTCATATAGGCTATGCATCTACTTTTGGTTTCTTTTCGGGTGGTTACGTTGCTTTAACAGCGATCGTTCTTGTTGATCTAGTTGGTATTAATAAACTATCAGATGCATTCGGTGTTCTTTTACTTTTTGTTGGCATTGCAACTGCTGTTGGAACACCAATTGTTGGTAAGTGTTTAATTATTTTTTGGTTTCCTTTTCTTTTAAATTTTAAACATGTATTATTTATAGGAGCAATGCGAGATGCATTTTCTCACTTTGCTCGACCTTTTCTTTGGCCTTATTTTATTTTTGGTGGTTGTACTATTCTTAGCGGTGTCATACTATTTACTATTCCTTTGTTACAACGAAAAAAGTCAAATGACAAACAAGTGGAGATGGGTTGTGATAATATCTTCTCGGAAAAAGATCTATCATATGAAGAACAACAACAAAAAGTTTAACTATTTAAAAGTAATTTTATTGTCGATGGTTATTCAATTGGATTTTCGGCAATGTTCAATAATAATTAAAAACAAAAACTGAATTCTAATAGATATTGATGTTGATCGTTCAACTCAATTTTATCTATGTTGTATAGAGTGAAGTCTCAACTTTAGATTTTTTTTCTTTCAAAAAAAAAATAGGTAAATTACACAAGTATATCAACATTCGAAAAATGTTTACGGCGAAACATTCAGAATCTCGTACACTTATGTAGTTTTTTTGTATTGTTAGTTATTAGTGAAATAAATATTGAATAGTTATGTAAAATTTTAATTATTGAACGACACTTATATTGATAGTTTTAACAAACGAAAAATTCTATATATAATGAAAGTTGTAGTGAATTTCGAAATCTTCAATGATTGGATTCATTAGATAATGTTCATGAAAATTTATGTTATAAAATAATTTTGATAATCGTTGTTTTTAAATAATTGGTGCCTGATGGAAAGTGAATTATATTTTATCCACCGGACAAAATTATAAATTTATTTCAATTTTTTTCGTCCACTTCTAGACGAATATATATATATATAATTGTTTTTTATAATCCGAGTCAATAAAAAAGGACTTTTTTTATTAATGACAAAGTGCATTAATAGTATTTGACATTAATCTTTATTTTGATACAGCAGAATTATAAAAACATCTGTTAGTGAAATGTTCAGCGCGAAAAGTTCTACCGATTATGATAATACTTTGCTATAAAACATATACAGATTAATTCGAATGATTTGCTCTTGAACTCTGTAATCAGCATATTGCTATTCAAACGTTATTAACTTATTTTCTGAATTTTTAAAAAGAATTAAATCATTGTAAAAAGTACTTATTCAGTAATATGTTTCTGATATTCGTCAACAAAAGAATATATTCGTATCTGTAAAACATATACTCTTGAATAATCTCTGTTTTCGTGCACAACAAATATAGACTGAAAACAGAACATTATTTTATTTGTTTTTTATCATTGTCCTCATTTTTTAAGCGACAGAGAAAAAGAAATCTAAATGATCACAATAATTCATGGGTGCTGGTGAATGCACGCTTGCCTTGTCGAGAATATCATACCCAAAATAAATCAACACCAATATATTTTTTATATATTTCACTGTTTTTAATTATTCTTATTTTCTTGCCTGGTAGACACAAATTTTTTAAAATATTTCAATATAATTTTATTTGTAAGGTCTTTTGTTTTATAAAAGAGAATAAAAGAAACAGTTTGAGAAGAAATAAGCAAGAATATCTTAAGAGTAAGTTTCTAAGTGAGTCAGACACTAAAGGACATTGATGATAGTGTAAAATTTCAGATTCATGATTTTTTTATATGTTGTAGAGCGTAGTGAATTCAGTATTCATTAAAATTTTCATATCAATCTTATGACTTTTTCTTATGTAAGCAATCAAAACACCCACACCCTGCAAAAAAAATTGTGGAATATCATTAAAAAGTCGGTCTTAGCTTTTTCTACCAAAATATCGTGATACTGCATTTTATGCACCAATAACCAATTGTTGTGATATTTTTGTCGGTGATAGAAAGCATCAAGTTCTACCACCTAGGAGATCGGGCAATATTCTTTTATGAGAAAAATGCATCATTTTCTATCATTCATAAGGGATATGGGTAGAAAAAGTTATATCCACACCTGAATGTTTTTATTTTCTTGTGGACTCTGTCAGAATTGCAATTGAAGCTCAGCTCTGAAGTTCTTTACAGATCTCTAAATGTTACTCTTTTTCAGAAGGAATAAATTCCTATTAGTTTCCAAAATTAACAGTCTGACTAAGAGTCAAATTTAAATATTTATCTATTTTGTGTGACATAAAGGGCTTTTCGTAACAACCGAGGACAATTTATCAATGACGTTTTTCACACTTTTTCTTCTATATATATCTCATCAAGATCATTCATTTTTCAAAGTTTCATATTTCTAGCT